AAATTTTATTAAAATAAAACCATTTAAACTGGGTGTTCGGATTTATATGTCACTTAGTATATTTTCAACACACGACACAGCGAATGATACAGATGCTCTCCAATGTTGCCGTTAAAAAGTAGCCTTGAAACATACGCCACAAACATCAGTTTGATAGTCTGAGATGCGCAAATAAATTTGTGATTGCATGCCCAACTTATACCTTAAGCCTTAAGGTATTAACTTTGGAATAGGTAACGATATTTATTTATTTTCGATACTTCGATTTTTCAATTTTTACCAAGTTTTCGCAGAAATAGACCTCTGTACGACAGCCTGGATATTGCGTTTGATATGATTCCCATCACCGTTATTTTGACAAAACAGGTGCAGCGTTGCCAAGCGGACTCGCATAGCAACCTCCTCTTGCATCAATAAGTGTACTACATAGTCAAACTAGTTTGCACGCACAAAAGGCTGGGGCTCGCACTGTAAGCGGAATTAATTCCTGAACATAAAACAACAAAAACTGGGGCATTTGGGCTCACTTTTACAAAAATCAAATCGTCGAATATCAAAATCCGTAGAGTGATTTAAACAACGCCTAGTCGCTTCCTTTCCTAAGAGATTCTCTTCTTCCACCTTTCTCTCTACCTTCCCTTTTTTATTTCCTCTTCCCCTTTTTCATTAATATTGTCTGGTTTCAGGGATACCAGACCTAACAGAGTGACGAACTAAAACTTTCAAACAAGACCGCTCTGACAAACAAAGTTGAAATTCAAGAAATGCACAAACTGAGTTTACAAGGACTTTATCCCCAGTAACTTGGCAAACTGTTTAACATAAAGTAGTGTTACTAGGACCTCATCCAGAACTAGTGATAGTTCCCATTTGTCACACGTTTGACAATATATTTCCGCATTTGGACCGAAACGACGCCCAATAAAGAGGAATGTGGAACATATAGGTGGTTTTATTCAGCCAGACAAGCATGGAGATTATCAACATGAAAAACACAGCATAAGGGTCACATGTTTCAAAAGCACGAGTACCAAAAGCAGGTGTTGCCAAGGTCATTGACAGTTTAGATAGTAGGGCTTCAATTGTCACAAGGGCATTCGTTCTCAGAAACATTGCCTAAGCATGCTGTGTCTTAAATTTGCTGGTTAATGTAACTGAGCTATAAGACTGGATGGATTCGCAAAATTACTCTTATTGATATCGCTCCATATAATTTTCCTATCCTACTTTGATATTCATAGTTTCAGATACTAATGCAGTGTCAATGAATACGCTTAGGAAACGTTTCTCATATGAACTGTCAAAACTCTATGTAGTATATTCAAGTGTATCATAAATTTTCAAAGGAAATCTTAAAATATACTAAGTGACATATAAAATGTAACACCCAGAATTGGTTATTTAATTTTGATAAATACATATTTTTTTATATCGAAGCAGCCGCGCAGGCAGAAGCCTAAATGCCGGAATTGAAAGACCTAGGTATCACTCGACCCCCCTTTCCATATTCTGGGGTGGTGTCACCCCCGCTTAGGAGGCTGCACGTGCTAACGTCATTTTTTGCCCGACTTGTGCCCCCCTCGAAAACAAAATCGACGGGTTTGAACATCTTTCAAAAAAAAAACTGAGCTGCCAGTAAATGCGTCTGTTTCTTGTTTGACGCGCCACCCTGAATATAAAATAGAATGGCAATAGATTTAATTCAAACCGAACTATTAGTAAAATCATACTTGATGTTTAAATTTTAAAGCATTTTTGAATACTCTAAGCGCACCAAATTGGTGGAATTGATGAACAAAACAGAAAATAGGTATTTTTAAGTTGTCTCGTATTTTGATCTCATATGTGTCACATGTAATGTCATAATTTGCCAAAAGCGTATTTAGTTCTAATAAATAATTTTAATTATGAGAAATAGCTTTTTAATTGCTAATATTAATTTCTTGCGACTATAATCCCACAATTGCGACATTTATTTTGGTCATCCTGTGTGGTAACTCTAAGTCCAGGTAACAAATTGACATCAGTTCCAGGATCTACGCTCTAGACTTATTCTGGAATCGAGTCTCTCGGTATAGAACACAGATAAGCAAAGGTTTCTCAGATATGTCTTTAAGAAAACTCCAAAATCTCATGGGACTTTGTAGAGCAAAACGTTTCATTTTCATTCTCCGTCCTTACAAACGAATGCAACTTGGTGCATTTCTTGACTTTCGAATACATGTTTCGTGGTATATTGGGTAGCAAAATTGTCGCTTGGGTCTCCATGGGTCACCTTGAGAACAGCACAGCATAAAGTGACATCTAAAAAATCAACATAACATTTCATCTACCAATAATCACACGTTTCGCATGCCTAATCACCATGCGAAACTCCTGACACTAAAAGCAACGGAACTGTTTGACATGTAACGACTATTTAGAAACACCTTCTCGTTGTAACACTTTTTTTCGCACAGCGGCAAATTAAATGTTCTTTTCTCAATAAGAGGCACCGCTTAATTACAGAGGAGAAAAAATTCCGTGCAGAAAAAACTGTACGGCGATCCCATATAAAGACAGACGGCAAGACGCGGTAAGAATCTGCTTATGAAATTGTTATATGAGACGTATGGTGAAAAATAATTTCTGTTACTTCTCCAGGACCTGTACCACTGACTTTTGTTTTAGACTATACTTCAGAGCTTATCTTTCCGGTAGACATCACCTCCTGCTTACTTGAAAATGGAGGAGGTACGGCTGGAAACATTAACCTGTTGAGCAAAGATCCTCAATAAATTGTCTAAGAGAAAAACAGTATATCACCCAGCAAAACCCATCGAAATATTGTGGAATCTATTGGAGATTATACAGTTTCCTATGAGATAGTCAAGCATTAGTGTCGTGATCTTAAGTGTCATCTTCTGAAGAACAACATGGCAGTGACACGCATGTAACTGCCGCCTGGCCAAAACATTAAAAAAGTAGATTATATGGTGTTACAAGATGACATGTAGATATGAGTCTAAAGACTGCTAGCCTCTAAACAGAAAAAAAAAGAAGGAATCGGACAGTGCTACAACGCTGAGTTATGCGATATTAATGATACACACGTACCTCAAATGAAAGGTTAAAATAACTGATTATACAAAACTATTAATTTTTCAATGCGGGACAGTGGTATGTTAAAATTTCGTATAAAAAATGGTTAAAGCCTTAAAAAACTTGGCGGAATGTCATTTCATAACTAGATATATTCATATATCGTATTAGTTCCTTATATTCATCATACTTTTAGGTGACAGCTAAACCATTCTGCATATAACGGGCTATTTAAGTTATAACGAGAGTACCAAAATCTCCAGAAATAATTGTTTTGTCCGTAATCTGATGACTTTTCGTCTGCATAAGTCGACTTTCTTAGCCTTACCAGATCCCCATTAACATACAAATCTCTCAAACGAGTTGGAACAATAATTTCGTATGCGAATGTTATACGAGGGAGCTTTAAGGTTTACCAAAGGCTGATGGAGAGAGCACACAAAACAACCATCCGCTTGCCTATCGAAGTATGACTACACAAAGTAGCACCTATTACCAGAATCATTGCCATTAAAAAACTAATAATATTGCTTTCGTTTGGGACCGCGGTTGGCCGCGTGGGTCAGAGTGTCGTGCTACTGATCAGCCGGCCAGCCGGGTCGCGAGTTCGAATCTCGCCTTCGCCATGGATGTTGTGACGTCGTGTGTTTGTACATAATTAGATATATTCTATATACAACCTAGTTTCTGGCTGCATGGCTTAGTCCTAAAGCCAAAAAAAAAAAAAAAAAAATTGCTTTCGTCCTTCCGACCAACAGAGGGTCAATCGTATATTTATTAGACTTGATACTTAGTAACGAATGTTCAATATATCATATTTCGAATTCGGTTGACATATTGGTTCCTAATCACCATCCTGCAATTACATTTTGTTTTAAGTATGTTTTACTTAAGCCATTAATGCACGAGAGCCGATGCCTTTACAACTTTAATAAAGCTGACTATACTTCCATAAATAAATACTCTTTTAGACATAGAATGGGAAAAATTATTTAGTACCAAATCTGTAGCTGAAGCTGTAGCCATATTCTATAACATACTCAATGAAACTATTCACAAATTTACACCAATATATAAAATTCGAGGAAAATACCCAATATACTTTAAACTTGAAACAATACAAACAGTTAAGAGAAAAAATAAGTATCATAGACTATACAAACGTTTTAATGATCCATACTCATATCAGATATTCTGTGACCTTAGAGCCAAATAAAAAATCTTAATTGAGGAAAACCTGGATGAATACATAACAATGATGGAAAACAGTATATTGAACGACAGCCGATACCTTTGGAAATACGTTTCAAGTAAGAAAAAATGTCATGTCTCTATACCTAGTTCTATAAATCATTCAAACTATGAAGTTAAAACCGGAAGTGGGGTGTGTAATGCCTTTGCTGATTTCTTTGCAAGTGTATATGTTAAATCTAAACATTTTTATTTAAACAAGGATGTTAGTCCTATTGATGTTACCTTAATATCCATTGAAAAAATATATCAACAAATAGTGTCCTTAGAAATTAAAAAATCAGTAGGCCCTGACGGCATACCTTCTGTATTTATAAAAAACTGTTCCGCTAGGTTATGTTTACCACTTCACCTAATTTTCAAACTATCATTAACTCAAAGAGTCTTTCCAACGAGATGGAAAGAAGGTGAAATATTGCCTATTCATAAAGGAGGCGATAGACATCTTGTGGAAAATTATCGACCTATCACTAAACTTTGTATTTTCTCAAAAATTTTTGAAAAGCTGATTTATGATGCTATCTTAAACATTACAAAAAATATCATTACGGAACACCAGCATGGATTTTTCCCTAAAAGATCTGTAGAGACGAATTTCATGAGTTTTATAGAACATGCCTCTCACGCAATAGATGAGAAACTGCAGGTGGATGTTATTTATACCGACTTCAGTAAGGCTTCCGACAAGATTGATCATTCTATCTTGATGGAGAGACTTGCTGAGGTGGGTGTAGATGGTCCATTATGGCAGTGGCTAGCATCGTATATAAGTAATCGTAAACAAGTGGTGACTATCAATGGGTATCGTTCGGAGACATTCTTAGTAACTTCAGGCATACCACAAGGTAGTCACTTAGGACCATTGTTATTTAACATATACATGAACAACCTTACTTCTGTTTTTCATTTCAGTAAATATTTGTTATATGCTGATGATCTAAAGATATTTACTATTGTTAGAATGTAAATGACGGTGTAAAACTTCAAAGCGATTTGGAATCTCTGCAAAAGTATTGCACTGAAAACAGTATCTTCCTGAATTTAACAAAATGTCATTACATGAGGCTTACTAGAAACATAGCGAACACTATAGATTTCAGATATAAGATAGGGACGGCAGAACTGGAAAAGCTCCATGTAGTAAAAGACCATACATTGATGAGAAACTCTCATTCATCACCCACGTAGAGCACATCGTAAATGATACAAATAGAACACTAGGGTTCATAAACAGGACATGCAGAGAATTTACGAACCCAAAAACGCTTCTTTCATTGTACTACGCTTAACTGATGTTTGCATCTGTAATATGGAATCCGTCTTACAATGTACATATAGTCAGGATAGAAAGAATTCAACACAAATTTTTGAAGATGTTAGCACATAAAACTCACCAACCTGTTACAGATCATCATTATACGCAAATTATGAAACAGTTCAATATGATTTCCTTAAAAGATAGAAGAACGATTTCTGACATTTGCTGTGTCCATAAATTGTTGAATGGCCTCACTGACTGTCCGGATCTTTTGGCAAACTTGAACTTTAACACTCCTGATAGAACGTTTAGAACCTATCATCTGTTTAGAATACCGTTCCGTAGAACCAATCTTGGTCTTAATTCCCCTTTGGTCAGGGCTCAAAAAAATCATAATAATTTCTGTAATACAGATTTATTTAACATTAGCTTGACCTCCCTGAAAAAGGCTTTAAAGTATGAGTATTACAGCTCTATGGCAGACTAAAATAGAAATGTTTTATTTTTTTACATAACTCAAGTTATCACCTCCAATATCATTTCTGGTATAATTTCAATTTAATTTTGATTTCAGTTTTAATTAAACGTAAGTAAATGTTAAATTATGTATACTTCTTTTATTAAAAAAGTTAAATTAATAGTTTATTGCTTATAATTAGAACTACTCACTCAGTTTATGTTGTTACAACAATATCGGAGGATAAAAAATATTCACATTGAAATATTCAATAACGTAATATATGTATATGTATACGATATTTTATGTAAGTTTAGTTTTAGTTCACTGAGGGTGTGTGTTGGGTTTACCTGTTAACACCCCAAACTGTATATAAATAAATAAAATAAAATACTGGGTCTAGGTCTAGGCTTGGTTTCTAGGTAGGACAACGAAAGAAAGCAGACTCGACCACTTCAAGTGTTAACAGCTCTGCCATGCTTAGCACAATACGAGGGATATCTTGTGCATATGGAAATAAAACAACACGGTAGGTAGTTTTAAATGACTTTGTTGTTTTTCGACGTATTCTCCACGAAGATTAATACACATCTGCATGCGCTCGAACCAATTTCCGAAGCACTTATTCCACTTGTTTGCTGGCAGATCCAAAACGGCATTTTTGAATGCGTCAACTGCTTCTTTTGGTGACTGGAACCTGTGACCACTCACTCTGTTTTTAATTTTCGGGAAAGTAAAGAAACCTTTAGGACTTAGGTCGGGACTATATGGAGGATGTTCCAATAATTCCACGTTTTCTTCCGTTAAATACTGCCGTGTTTTTTGGGCTGTGTGCGAGCTTGCATTGTCTTGGTGGAGGATGATTCTTCTTTCGGGGTTGATTTTTCGAAGCTCGGTGATGACTTTTGGCAAACAAATGGTGGTATACCAATCCGCAGTAACAGTTCTTTGCTCATTAAGAGGAATTATCGCAATATGACCCGCTTTTGACACAAATGTCTCGACCAACTTTTTCGAAACACTTCGAGAACGGATGATTTTTGTTGGCTTTTCACCCAAACAGCCGACTGTCGTTTATTTTCTGGTTCATAACAGCGAATCCACGATTCATCACCACTAACAATGCTGTACACATTTTTTGAGTTACCGGAATAGAAACGGTCAAGCGTTTTTTGACACCAATTAACCCTGGCTGCTTTCTGCTCTTCAGTCAACAGGTGGGGTATCCAACGATAAACTAATTTTCTTACACCTAATTCTTCATGTAAATTTTTTGAATTAAGGTCTTTAAGATCTTCAAGGACACCTCAATCTCGCGATATGTCACATGTCGATCTTCAATGATGAGCTTGCGCACAGCATCGACGTTTTCCTGGGTGACTGCCGTTTTTGGTGCACCCACCCTGGGATCGTCGCTAAGGCTCACCCGTGCACGTTTGAATTCTCCATACCAACGAGAAATTGTCGACCGATGTGGCGCTTCATTGCCGAAAACAGACAGTAACTCAGCAAGGCATTCTTGTTGCGATAATTGTCTCTGAAAGTTGTAATAAAGTATGGCGCGAAAATTTTCTCGGTTGAGTTCCATTTTTTTAATGACTTGATGACACTTAAAAATTCACTGTAGTGAGAACACTGCACGTATTGTTGTGAAACTTTGAATTTAAGAGTACTAAGGAGTGAGGTTAAGATTCAGTACTGACGTTCGATCCGCGCGGCCTACTGTGTTTCTATATGCAAAACTTAAACGACATCCCACGTATAATAGTACCTATAATTTTTTTAGGACGCCACTTAGAGGGCATAGGGGTCGACTTTTTTCTAATGACAGCACGAATGACGATGATGTCCTTAATAATGAAGAGCATTTTAGAGAATTAATACGGTTTAGAGTCGATAGTGGCGACAATTTATCGAAAAAAGACTTACTCAAAAGCGCATGCTACGTATACTTTATCTGAAGTCACTTGAAACACTGTGAAATACCGGGTGCGTTTTATATATCTATATTTAACACGCTCTGTTGCTGGAAAAATCGCCTAATTTGGCAGCAAATATCCCCCGTATAAGATCAAAGGCAGTTTCACCGGTCCACGTGGAGTAAAGCACGCCTATGCGTGGACATAGCCAATGAGAAAGCGTGTATTTCAGAGCTTCGAACAAGTGCAGGTGGCTACTGAAAATTGAAACAGTTTAGCCAGTGCCGTGTAGCGGTGAAAAAACGTGTTTTCTTTAGTCTGTCCGTGTTTTTTCATAGATTTTATTAGTTTGTGTGTTTTTCACTTTTGAATACTCAGTTTACTTGTTGTGTTGATTGTTCTTGTGTGTCCTAAATATGGCTCTTTGGAGACCTTGGGATAATGCTCCAAGCCACGAGGAGATGGTTGATGAACCTGTGCAGGCAGAATTCTTTCATAAAGATTTAGAGGAACAGACCCAAAGAGTAATCCTAAATATGTATGATTGTCTGAAAAACGAAAATCCAGATTCCTCGCAAAATCAAATTTTAAACAGAATTTGTATCCTGACAAAAATCAGTCGGTCTACCATTTATCGGGTTATAAAAAGGGGAGATGTAGTCAACCATTCCTTCCACAGAAAGCGCATAGGGCAAAAATTAAAAAGAATAGATGTGGGTTTTCAGGAAGATATTCGTCGTATAATATACGGATTTCATAAAGAAAATTTGGTGCCCACGTTGGAAATGATACGGGATAAATTAAAAGATTATCCTGAAGATTTTTATAATTACAAATGCTCAGACTCACTGCACTGTATTGTAAAACTGTGTGGTTTTCAATACAAAAAATTAGATAAAAGAATGGTGATTATGGAGTCGTCTCGAATCGTTGAATTGCGCCAAGAATTTTTGCACAAAGTTAAAATCTATAGAGAGCAGAAAAGAAATCTGATTTACCTGGATGAAACGTGGTATGATACCCATGATGTTGTGCAGTACGGCTGGGTTGACGACAGCAACAAGTGCATTTTAAATGCACCATGCAACCGTGGAAAACGAATCATTATTCTCCATGCTGGCAGTGAAAATGGATTTATACCTAATGCCTTGCTGTTATCTGCCAAAAATATCAAAGAATCATGTGCCGACTATCATGAGGACATGACCTCCGACTTATTTGAAAAGTGGATAGAGCAGCAGTTAATACCAAACATTTCCCCAAATTCAGTGATTATTATGGACAATGCGTCATACCATTCCCGACAGAAAAACAAAATTCCGAATACAGGCACAAAAAAACAAGACATTATTGATTTTATGAAGGATAAGGGAATGGAAATACCACAAAAATCAACCAAAGCCATATTATTGGATCTTATTAAAAGACAAAAATTTGAAAAAGAGTATGTTGTTGACAATCTGCTTCAGCAAAATGGCCATGAAGTATTACGTCTACCTCCCTATTACTGCATTTTTAACCCGATTGAGTTGGTCTGGGCTGCTTTAAAAAAAAAGTAAGAAAACATAATCAGACCCCTCAATTAAGTGAATCGCTATTGGCCACAATAAGAGATGCAGTATCTCATATTGCTGCCACAGACCTATGGAAGCAGTGTTCTAGGCATATTATTGAAAAAGAAAATGAATATTGTGTTTTGCCTCCTGTAAATCCCGTTGTAATTCCTCTACAAGATGACTCTAGCGACAGCTCCCAAGGCGAGGATGATATATAAATACCTATAATGTAAGTCTTTATATACCTTTTTATATACCTACCTGCTATGTAAATATTTGCCTATGTCAAACGTTGGAATTCTGTAATTTTTCCATTTCTTAACTTTCAGTCAACATAAATTAAACTCCCAATATAAGTATTTTTTATCCCAAATCAAAAAAATAAGAAGATAGTAAAATCCATTTATTGTGATATAAAAACATTATTATTATCGTTCTAAATAAATGACCGCACGCCTATGATACGTCATGAAATTACAAAGGACGTGCCGACCAAAGGTTTTTATGCTATTTCAAGTGACTTCAGATAAAGTATACATAAGCTGCCGCATCCTAAATGAAATTATAGAATGTTGTGGCGCGGAAATCTTGGATATAGTTTTAAGTCGCGTCAGGCAAAGTCAGTATTACAGTATTATATTTGACGAAACTACAGACATTAGCCATAAATCACAAATGTCAATCGTATTGCGGTATTGTTATCAAAAACATATTTGTGGATTGCTACTCAAATTTTGATGAAGATACAATGGAGTCCAAACTCACAGGTCTAATTCTTACTCAAACACTCACTAAAACCAATAACTTAGGCTCAAAACTATGTGTGGGCATTGGTACTGATACGTGTAATCTAATGTTAGGTGAACAAAAGGGCGCTGTAATGGAATTGCAAAAATGTTTCCCAAATGCTCTAAAAAGCCCATGCGCAAATCATGCCTTGAATCTTTCGATTTCAAAGAGCAGCAGTGTCCAAACAGTAAGAAATACTGTAGGTATAATGAAGGAAGTAATTGCGTTGTTCAAAGCATCCGCTAAAAGAAATACAGTATTAGAAAGAAAACTCGGTGGATATCAAATTCATAGTAAGTGCGAAACACGATGGACCGGGAGACATGATTCTGTGCTCCAATTTGAAAGAAAATTCGAGAAAATTGTAGAGATACTAAATATTATATCAAATTGGAAAGACCGCGAAGCTTCTTCAAAAGCGGAGTCTTGAAATGAATTGATCGATTTTAAGAAGTCAATCGTCAAAATAAAGGACTTCGAAAGATCTCTCAAACAAGCTATTACCCTTGTCGTTCAAAATTTTTAAGGAGATGACCCTGGGGGGCAGAGTGTGAAAGGGGTGAAGTAGTTTTTGGTTAAGAAGTTGTCCCCCTTGACAAATCCTTTAATCAGTAGTTTTCGATAAATCCGTGGTGGGATGCTTTCAAATGAACACCCTGTATATAAAAACCAAGCAAACCGTAATTGCTGATACCAATTCATCGTATTTTTGCCGTGAAAGAAAAAGTAATAGAACAATGGTATTGAAGGAGATTATTATAGAGCATTTAATCTATCTATATATCATATACAAGCAAATGTACAAAATACTCAGCCTCCAAAAAGAACTTTGAACTCATTTATTTTGGATAAAGTCGAACAATGTGAAGTATACACCTCTGCTATGTCCTTAAAAAATCGGAAAAGTCCTGGGTTCGATGGTATTAAAAGCGAGCAATTGAAAATTATAGCCGAGGACATAACAGAACCACTCACTTACCTAATCAACAAATGCTTTGAATCTGGCATATATCCCTCAATTTTAAAAAAAGGTAATATAATACCGATACATAAATCAGGAACAAAAACAGATGTTAACAACTATAGACCAATATCAATAATATCCAGTGTAGCAAAGGTTTTTGAAAAAGTTGTATCTACTAGAATGATTCGATACCTCACAAAATTCAAAATTTTAAATGAAAATCAATATGGATTTACAGAAGGGAAGGCTACATCGGACGCAATAACTAAAATTGTAAATCAAATACGTCAAAATATTGATAACAGAATGCCTTCAATCTGCATTTTTGTTGATTTAAAGAAAGCCTTCGATACAGTTGATCACAAATTATTATTAGAAGCATTGGAGAGAATTGGTTTCAGAGGAAACGCGTACTCACTGATCGAAAATTATCTGTCAAATCGAACACAATCTGTGCAGATATCAGGATCATTTAGTAAAGAAATGTATATTAAGTGTGGTGTCCCACAAGGAACTGTCTTAGGTCCGCTGTTATTCAATATATATTTAAATGATATTTTCCAAATTAATTGTGTTGGCAAAATAACTAGTTTTGCAGATGATACTGCAATATTATATGAAGGCACTGATCTGATCTGAAAAATGGAATTGAAAATGATTTTATCAAAATTATTCGGTGGTTTAACAGCAGAAAATTAAGCATTAACTACTCTAAAACACATTTTTTACCATTTGGATCTTATGCTAGACATCTGCCAAATTACACAAATTTCTCCTTCAACATTAATGATAAAAAAATGCAAATTAATAGAGTGTCCAACATAAAATACCTTGGAGTAGTCTTGGATCCTCACTTACGATGGGACATCCATGTCAATTATATTTTAAAGAAAGTTAGATTTGTATCCTACAAAATTAAATACCTTGGGAATATATTGACAGAAAAATATCTTCGAACATTATACCATGCTCTGATTGAGCCTCATCTCACATATGGTATATTAGCATGGGGAGTTGCATGTTCCTCACATATCTATAATTTAGATGTTTTTCAAAAAAGTATTCTAAAAATGATATTTAAAAAACCGAAACTTTATCCCACTGAAGAATTATACGCAGATGTTCGAATGTATGATATAAGACAGCTTTATTTCTTACACAGTATCACTCACTACCATAAATTTGTAAACACCGACCAAAAAATTAAACATAATCATTATACGAGGTGCAAAATTCGTGGCACAGTAGTTCCTCAACCGCATAAATCTATAATGCAGCGATCATATCCCTATTTAGCGCCTAAATTTTATGAAATTATACCTAAAGACTTAACAGATTTACGTTTCGGAAATTGTTTCAAAAGAAATTTAAAAAAGTGGCTACATTCTATATCTAGGACTGAAATTCATAAACTCATAAATACGAACATCAACTAAATATATAATCTACTGTAGCTAATTTTTGACCTTTTTTGTCATTTGCATTCTACAGTTTCAACTTAAATTATTGGTCCATGTACAGGCGATGCCTTCTATTATATTTACTCATATTGTTTGTTATCTTTGTACATTGAGTAAATAAATATTATTATTATTATCATTATTATTATTATCTATCTAATTAAGTAACAAAAAAAAACTATCATTAAAAAATATTCAAAAATGTTCGCACCGGTGCGGCACATAAAACTTGCTAAACTAAGTCGCCACTTTAAAATCAACAAGATAATGATATCTTGAAATTCTCTATACGGTGAAAAACACATATATTGCCTGCCAATCCATTAACTTTATTAGATAGTGATATCTATTAATTGCCAAAAAAATAGATATTGCTAAGAATCGTTGCCAGTACAGGAGCAACAATGACAAATGAAAGCATTGCCGTGAAAGAAAAGCAATAATCTAATATACTAAGTGACATATAAATCCGAACACCCAGTTTAAATGGTTTTATTTTAATAAAAGTTGGTGAATGTATTTATCTTACTGTAAATAACAAGTGAAAAAATGTTCAGCCTTATCAGTTGGACATTCCGGTTTTTATACTGTTTTTTTTTTTAATTCACTAACACTCTAAAAATGAATATTTCAGCCGCAGTAAAGAATCAACGTTGGCGGATTTTGGTTCTTGACATCCTTTACGATCGGTTACGATGCCTAGAGTACGGAGACCTGTACGATTTCGTCAACTTAGTGAGCTTGATAGGGGCCGTATAGTGGGACTTCGGGAAGCTGGACCTTCTTTTCGGGCAATTGCAGTTAGAGTGCAAAGAAGTGTAGACACTGTGGTTAGGTGTTGTCAGGCATGGCTTCGAGAAGGCCGTACGCAAAGAGCAAGGGGCACTGGACGCCGCCATAGAACAACAGACCGTGATGATCGCCGCCTAAGATTATTGGCCTCAAGGGACCGTTTCTCCACTACCAGGTCCATTGCAAATGAATGGTTTGCGGAACACGGAAGACCTATTGGTATGCGAAGTGTTTACCGACGAATGAGAAGTTTTGGCTTGTTTTCATACCGGCCACACTGGGTCCTCTCTTTAACTCGAGGACACAGACGTAATTGCCTTGAGTGGTGCAGACAACGGTCACTCTGGGATCAGGAATGGAACAGTATTGTCTTTAGTGACGAGTCTCGATTTTATTTAGGCATGCACGATGGTCGTGCCAGGGTTAGAAGGCGACGTGGTGAAAGGAGGAATCCACAGTTTTTTGTTGAAAGACATGTTCATCACACTGTTGGAGTTATGGTTTGGGGTGCTATAGCTTATGGTTCCAGGTCACCTTTAATCTTCATCAGAGGTAACATGAACGCGCAGCGTTATATCCACGAAGTTCTAGAACCCCATCTTTTACCCTATCTTGACACCCTGGCAGAACCAATTTTCCAACAAGATAATGCCCACCCACATGTTGCAAGAGTCATAATAGACTTCTTTCAACATAATGATGTCACATTGTTACCATGGCCACCAAGATCTCCCGACTTATCCCCAATTGAGCACGTGTGGGATATAATGGGTAGGAGATTGCTCAATTTGCAACGTCCTCCTCAGACTCTAGAAGCACTTCGAGAGGGGTTGGTGGTTGCCTGGAATGAGATACCACAGGAAGACATTGACCACCTGATCATTAGCATGCCTAGGCGCGTTGGAGAATGCGTAGCACATCAGGGCGCATCCACACATTATTAAAGGTCAAAGGGCTTTAAAGCAGTGCAATCATTTTGAAATTTTTATCATTTACTTATTATGCTTCATTAAGTACTTATACAAAATTTTATTAAAATAAAACCATTTAAACTGGGTGTTCGGATTTATATGTCACTTATTATATTTTGTCACATTTACCATGACTTATGATTTTACATTTTTCCGACGATTGGATCTACACTTCTTGAAGCTCCCTCGTAACTGCTCGTACTCTTTAGTAGCTAGAGATTCGTATTCAAATTCGGTCCCGACTGCTCGAAAGTGATGGATTTATATATTTATTAAATATGGTGTTGTCCTTTTATAGAATGAATTTATATGTGTACACGAATTTCTCTCTGGCGTATTATAAAACGGCGGCATTGCGATTTTTTCTTGATGGCTGAGTCACGAATGGGTTATGGGTCACGCGAAATTTTTGGCAACGTATTGATGATTGTTCTTTCTAGATACGATTTGGAATTGCGACATGTCAGTTAGGATGTTGAAATGTCGGAACGTCGTACGTCGTTTGCGAAATTAAGCAGATGGTATCATGAAAATCCAGATGGGAACAAACTATATTAGAATTCTCCACTGAATCACAACAAGTATACAGGGTATACAAGTCAAACGATTTGTCAATGGGGACCAATATCTCAACCAAAAACTACCTCACCCACTTTCACCCTCTGCCTCCCAGGGTCATCAACTTAAAATTTTTAATAACAAGGGGTATCGTGTAAAAGCTTGTTTGAAAGGTCTTTCAATGACCTTTATTTGGACTGGACGTTTGATTTTTTAAATCTGTCAACTCATGTTCAAGAAAATTAGAAAAATATTTATTAATCTTAATTTGTTTAGATAGAAAACAAAAACAGACGAAAATATCACTTTTTATATCAATTAGTGTTGCCAGTTATTGGCCAAAAAATGATATAGGCGATGTTCAAATTGATGATGGGCATTTTCAAAAACATGTTGTGGGATATCATGGCAGATGCGTTGACGAAGTTCTTGCAAACTTTCAGGTTTTGGAGTAAGCACAATAGATTTCAAATGGCCCCATAGAACAAAGTCT